TCATCTCTAAACAAGTGTAAAACTCCCCCCTTTCAAATAACATTTTACTCAGCTTCATTCAGGAAATGCAGTGTAGTAAAAAACATTTAGTTTTAAAAGATATTGAAAAAAAAGCTTCCTAAATTAAAAATACTCAATACTTGATCACAGTAGTGAAGTTAGCTTAGTGAAGCTAGGTACACCTGATGAACTGCTGGTTAATCCAAATATCTTATTAACCAATCACAATGACAGACATGTAGACATGACCAAGATGATCTGCAGAACTTCAAGCAAGCATTAAAATGGGGAAAAATGTGACTTTGAACATATATGTCCTAGGTTTAATAAAAATAATCTGAACAACAGAAATATGGAACGATCAGCATATATGAGTGAAAATACTTGAGCACTAATACTTGCAAAGTGTACCTAATAAAGTGGCCAATGAGTGTACATTAAAGGAAAAAAAAAAACATTTTAAAATGACACAAACCTTGCATATCTCAGCAATTCCTGTAAATAAATCCTCCTCCCAAGTGTTCATCCTGCAAACACAAAAGTATCAGCTTATTCAGCCTAAACCACGTGTGACCTAAATGGATAAGATACACCTTATTGCCTTTTAACTCCAATATAAGCACTCTATCGGCTTATTCAATGAACTCCTTCCTCATTTGCGAATGCTGGCATTGAATTAAATGACTGTATTCAATCTAAAGCATCTGCGGGGAGAGTCTATTTTAGACAGAAGTCCACTGGGTGAGTTTCTATCTGCCATCACTCTGTCTCTCCAGCCTGGCTTTGCTCATGACAGGTGAGCTAATTACCCTTCCAAGGTTATTTGGCTACGTCAACACTTTTAATTTAAGCTATTCTGCTGCAGCTGTTTAGATAAACAATTTGAAATCACAATTGAAATCCATACCAATGAGCTCTGAGACCATATATTTACGCTGGTGGGGATCGCGCTGCTGGTAAACAACATGCTTAATTGATTCTGCTGCCGAAGTGTTTTTCTCAACATACTGGTTCTAAAGTTGCCAAATGTCCTAATCGGTTCACAAGTGGACCATACTAAATACAAGTGCAAATGGGAGTACAGAATGTTTTGAGCATGTCCAATTTAAGAGGTAGGCAAAAACAAATTAGACCAGGCTGCTTTTGTAGTATAAACGTTAGCGTTGACAAATGCATTCAAGGCCTCCTTTTCCAGCCAATATAGCATCAATTCATCTTGGGAATGATGGATACAAGTCCTGAACAGGGGTCAGAGGGATCTTGAGCAATTTTATTTTATTTTTTTGCTGAGTAATGGCCAGGTCACAACGTGATGTTGATGGAAGAACAGGTTTTAAGATTCGCTCCTCTAAAGCACCCCAAAGTGGCTCAATAACATTTAATTCTGGTGACTGTGCAGGCCAATGGCAGATGTTCAACTTCACTTTTATGTTTATCAAACCCCTCTATCACCAGTTTTGCTGTGTGTACTGATGCATTACTACCCTGATACATAGCACCACCTCCAGGATACAATGTTTGACCCATTAGGTGTAAACTGTCCTCAAGAATGTTTTGGTCACCCTTGGAAGTGACCCAGTGCTCATCTAGCATAAGTATTGGGCCTAGAGCTTGCCATAATATAGCACCAAACCATCACTGATCAATCTCCATGCTTCATTCTGGCCATGCAACAGTCTGGGTGGTACGCTTCTTTTGGGTTTCTCCACACTGTAACTCTCCCGGATGTGAAAAAAACGGCGGAGATGGAATTTGCCAGGGGAATGAACAATTTCAGACTGGAATGAATACCAACTGATATACAATGGTATACATTATTACAGTATGTATATGCACACCAAGTAAATGCGCATTAATACAATGTACAGGGTTTCCACTCTAAAAGTCGGAGAATTTAGCATTTGACTTAATCACATGAAAGCTTGATGGCTCAATAATATTCACATCTGGTGATCGTGCTGACCATGGCAGATGTTCAACTTCACTTTCATGCCCATCAAACCACTCTGTCAACCAGTGTTGCTGTGCATACAGACACATTATCCTCCTGATACATGACACCACCTTCTGGATACAATGTTTGAACCATTGGGTCCACATGGTCCTCCAGAATGATTGGGTTGTCCTAGGCACAAGTATTGAAAATCACTAATATTGACTGTCAATGTCTGGACTAGACTTTGTATATTTCCATGACATTGGAAGGTAAAAAAGACTAAGCATTTAAGCTAACCACTTGTGGTTGGTCCACTGAAAATGCATGTTAGCATTTGGAAATAGGGCTTGCTTGGTCAAAACTTCCATTGCACGCACTCAATTAATTTTATTGTGTCAATATGGCATCTGCTTACTCATGGCTGATGCATCTGGACTTGGAAAGACAAACGAAGCCCCGATGACTGTGCGCGTTTGTTCAGCGTGCTCTGACTCAGCAATCCTCTATAGGTGAAGCAGAGCACTGCTAATTCAGTTTAGAGGATGAATATAGCCTTAATCTAATCAATGCATAAAACATTTTTGGTACCATGAATCACTGACCTCAGCGGAGATGGCGTGCTCTTCCTCTGCAAACAACAAGAAGAAAAACACTCTCTTTAAATCAACAAGTGGCAGGCAGTCAATTCTGGAGGGTAGGTCATAAAACTGACATAAATGCTCTCCATACCTTAAAAAGACAAACAGGAAAGATTTTCCCCCTTCACTTTGAAAGAACAGCCTCAAGGTAGCCGTAGTTCACCCACCTGCTGTGTTGAACTAATAAAATGCATGAAAGTGACTCTGAAATGTTGCCTGGGAGATGTGTTCAGCAGCAATGAAACGCAGGTCATGCTCTCTAAAGGACGAGAATGAACAAGCTGACAGAATCACAGTTTCCATGACATCACATGCCCTGTTTTCATATACCTCTGATGGTATATGCTGGCTATATATAAAACAGCACATATAAAACATTGCCTCATTACTCTATTTGTTTTCTATGCCCTGAGTTATACAGTGAGCATGAATCTGCATTAGCAAGGGGCTTGATTCAGAACACTGGGACATTGGTGACTCAAAATGCATTAACTCTAATGTCCTGTTATTTGCCGTCAAAAACAGTGCAGTGGAATATGCTGTTATGCTTTATTTTCCAATCTCCTGAACTAGAAAGCTGTCTACGACACACCAACAGGGTTTCTGCAGGTTTCACGTAGTCACATTGAAAACTTTTTTTAAGACCTTCACGAATTACATATCAGACTTGTATAAAGCTTGTAATGGGCCAGCAGAAAAAAAGATTTACTTGCCCCATCAAGAAACAAATTTCTAATTAGTTTTATATACTTTAATAAACTAAATGTATGCATATCAGACTTTAATAATATTAGTTTAGTTATAAAATAGAGTTATAAATATAGTTAGTTATAAAGAAATTAGTTTAAGTTGATGAGGTGGGGGCCAAGCTGGAGCACTCATTTCGATCCCCTTGACTCTGCATTGGTTGGGGAAAATCCAAAGTGGACCAAAAGCAAACGATCACGGTTTGCTTAAGATTGGCAATCGAAATTTGGGAAATGCAACCAGCAGAACCTGGGTATTAAAAAAAAAACATAAAAACAAATAAGTTGAGTAAATGGAGTTTTTCTACGGCTGTGTGTTGGATTGATTGGGTAGCTTTACATAAATAAAGGGAAATTAAGACCAGGGGTACGTTCTTCGTATGTGGATTATTCAATTAGCTGGATTTGGTAATTGACGATTTGACATGATCCAGGATCGTTTCATTCTTCAAAACTGATCCCAGAGTTGTTGTCATAACAACAGGTCTGGTAGCTCAAACCTGCTGGGGAGCAGGCTCATTTCATATAAACAGGATCAGACCGCTTCATTTCAAGCAAAGGTAATACTGAAAGTACGTACCTAATGCTGATATTTTAGTACTGTAGTAGTTATATACACTTGGGAAAATAGTCAAATAGTTTAAAAAATGTATGTATACATTTATAATAATTAGTAACATTTAATATTAAATAACTAATAATATTTATGTTTATATGCATATAAGAATTTTTAAATATATAATTAAAACAATGCAATCTGCACTCCGAAATAAAAGTACAAATTGTTGTTTTTTTTTCCCCAAGGGGTTCAAAGAGAACATTTATTAATATCGACTTTTTAGGCACAAATGCGTACTATTTTAAGGTACGATAATAGACAACATGCACAATATTCAACTGTTTTTTTTTTTTTTTTTAAAGAATATGCGGTCATGCACATATTTGACAGCTAATCTGTCGGTGATTTGATGCTTTGCAGATACCTTTACCTATGTCACAATGCTTTTTTAAAGCAAAATTTTTTAAACTCGCTGATTAAGAAACTTAAATAGGTGTAGGCTACTATAATAAAGAAATCCGCTCTCAGAAATGAAAAACTAAATGATATTTAAAAATACTAAAAAATACTCTTGACACATGAAAGTGTAAGCCTGCAGCTCAAAACAAATGTGGAAAGTTATTGCATATCATATTAAACATACTGTTTACTGCGACCTTTATGTAATTTTGCTCACATGAATAACTGAATATTAATCAGATGATGTCATTACGCTGCTGTGCCGTCAGCCAATCCTTATCTTGCTGGTCGTGATTTCGAGGATCGATAGATCTGTCCTTTACAACACACGCAGCGATCCCAGATCAGTTCATCCAGACATTTTAATCTGATTCTGAAGAACCAAACTAGCCTGAGATCAGTTATCAAGATTAAAAGATCCAGGATCTGCCAAATCCTTAGCTCATTTAAGTGAGGTACGAAGAACGGACCCCTGTTTAAAACAATTTAAGAGCTACAAGACAATAATGTGGTGAATATAAGACTTTTTAAGGCTTTAAACTTTTGTTTTCGAAATTTCATACATTTTAAGACCCCGTGCACAAGTGCTTTGGAAAGTAAGCTTTGCAAACTAATCATCACTAAACAGAAGCTCATACTGGATCATCTACTTACCAAACAGCTTATTTTAAACTGTCTTTAATAAAGGACGCTGGTCTGTTGATCAAGAATTAAAAAAAGAAACCCTTGAAAAAATAAAAGAGAGGGAAAGAAGGTGCAAAACAAAATCATGGCATGATAACGATTAAACAATTGCTTTTGTAGAGGGCATAAGTAACAAGTAAATCAGATCAGCTTATACAAAAAAAAAAAAAAAAACAAGCAAAACCATCTATAGGTACAATTAGAGTCCTTATTTTACTTTGACTGCGTATATTGCAATACAAATGTCACCCGAATACAAAGAACCCACTTAAAAGTTAATAAATTAACAAGGCACTGATAGTCTTAACACTGTGCAAATGCTTTTCTTTAGTAGCACAGATTTTAAGTGGCTATATGGCGTATAAAGGGCACATAGATAAACAGAAAAAGTAATCCTATGACGATAGTGTTCAATCATGGCAGACAAAACCATAAGGCTTAGTCCTAACTCAAATTAAACTTTAGAACCAAGGCATTTGGATATATTAGAAAAGCAGGTGCAATCTAAAGCAGTGTTTCCCAAGCCTGTTCCTAAAGGCACACCAACATTACACATTTTTAACCTCTCCCTAATCAAACACACCTCAATCAACTCATAAGAGCATTAGAGAAGACTCCAAAACCTGAAATGAATGGGTCAGATAAGGGAGACATCCAAAATATGTACTGTTAGTGTGGCTCCAGGAAAAGGCTTGGGAAACCCTGATCTAAAACAAGACATCAATTGCTAGGAGCAGGATTGAGTTGTCCGCTTAAAGTAAACATTTCAGAGCACTTAACTCATAAACAATACCCCCCCCCCCCCCCCCCCCCCCCCATGTATAGAAAATATAAATGGTGTTGTATATACACATCATATAAATGGATCTGAACCAGTTGGTCTCCTATGATCGGACTAGTTTAATACCCTGCCCTGTGTCAAGTATGCTGGGAGGAAACCATGAGAGTTTGAGTCTCCTGACGCAGCGCAAACACACACTGCACAGCCATAGGAGGTTGAGTCCGCAGCACCAGTTTGCTACAGCCACCAATGGATATGTGGTTTTGGGGAAGTGTGTTTTCCAGTGCTTGGCCACATCGCTCCCGGTGGGCAGGTGAAGGGCATAGTCGCTCCAGGGTTTGGAGACTCCATATATAGCCGATATGACCCTTCCTCTCTCAGACCACTGGACGCCACTTTCAGGATCGCAGTTGTATTTCACCCACTCAGAAGTGAAGTCTCCCAAACGTGGGGCATCCTGGCCTTCAGCATCCTGGACGGGGCTTAATTTGGCTCCCTGTACTGCCACATACATCCCTTCCACTTTGCGCACCGCCTTCACCCACGGAGCGGAGTTCTCGGTGTCCAGGACCAGAATAAGGCGGGAGGAAAAGCTGGAATTCTGTTCCCGCCACATATCAAGGATCTGCTTCATGCGCAAGTAATCGCCACCTATAGACATGGAAATACAGTCAACAGAAGCTCTCAAGTGCAGATCTATAGATTTAGTCAACCCAGGGCTGGACGATATGACAAAAATCTAATATCGCGATATAAGTTTACTCATATCCTGGTATCGATATATATCGCAAAGAGTCAAGCTAGGGCTGGACGGTATGACCGAAATCTAATATCACGATATAAGTAATCTCATATCCTGGTATCGATATATATCACGATACAGTCAACCTAGGGCTAGACGGTATGACAAAAACGTAATATTGCAATACAAGCCATCTCATATCCTGATAACGATATATATAAATCACAATATAGACAACCTAGGGCTGGATGATATGACAAAACTCCAATATCATGATAGAAGTCATCTCATATCCTGATAACAATATATTTATATATCACGGTATTTTACCATTTCTGTAACTTCCATCAAATTTGTATTATTTTATTTAAAATCTTTGTGAATACAAAAAATATGATGAAGATGATCAGCACATAACAGTAAGTATAAAAAATACTTGTTGTTAAATAATAATAATGCAACAACAATGGTAAAAGTAAAAGCATAAACTAAAGAATTAATGACAGACATTTACTAAAACAAATTACATGTGTGTGTGTGTGTGTGTGTATATATATATATATATATATATATATATATATATATATATATATATATATATATATATATATATGTAATTTGTTTTAGTATATGTCTGTATATACAAACTCCACACCAAAAGAAGAGCAATGATACATCTATACATGTTTTGAAATAAATATTTACAAAATTAAAAATAAACAGATAGGTTGAGACATTCAAAATTGCCGAACCAATTGTGTAACTTCAATCAATGAATGGTTTATGGTACGTAAAAGACTTTAAGTTATCTTACTCAAATGTACTCACTTTATTTAGAAGTTCAGGACAAATGTTTGATTAAAAATGTAGAAATATCAAATATGATTGGTAAAATATGAAACACTTTTCAAAAACTAGCAATTACAGGTCACATATAGCTAAACGAAATGCAGAATATATGAACGAGTGCCATTTTACATCCAATTTCTGAGATTTCACAAAACCTAAAAAAATATATTTAAAAAATTGGGTCTAAAATTTTGCTCTTAATTTAAAATAATTTGCTCTTTAAAAATTGTTGTATTTATTTATTTGGTAAATAATTAACTAACCTATTTGCTATTATTCTTTATGATTGCTTTTGTAGTACATTTGAACTATAACGCATGGCACATTCATTCATTCCATTTTCTTGTCGGCTTAGTCCCTTTATTAATTTAAGGGTCGCCACAGTGGAATGAACCGTCAACTTATCCAGCATATGTTTTACCCACGGATGCCCTTCCAGCTGCAACCCATCTATGGGAAACATCCATACACACTCATTCACACTTACACACTACGGACAATTTAGCCTACCCAAACCCACGCGAACGCAGAGAGATCATGCAAATTCCACACAGAAACGCCAACTGACCTAGCCGAGGCTCGAATCGGCAACCTTCTTCCTATGAGGTGACAGCACAAATTACTGCACAACTGTGTCGCCCCGCATGGCACATTCTTTGTAAAACTTGCCTCTGATTATATATTTGGAAGCACACAGTACGATCATCTTGATAAATTTAAATAAACATGCCAAAAAATAAATAAAGGGGGCTAAAGTTGTGCAGTGTGAACCCTGGATTAGGTCTTCTACTATCCAAATGACTAGAATAAGCTAGCTTACTCTTTTCAGTCATTTAGTCAAACATCTGCCAGCACAGGAGTACCTGCAGGAGTTTGCATACAAATTTCCATTCACAAAAAAACAGAAAGTGTGGACACAGAAGTGACAGGGTGATGCTGAAGGGGAAATGGAAAGAGACGGTGCGATCAACACGGTAAAGGTGTAAAAAGTCTGACAGTTCGTGATACTGCGGGAAAGACTGCGAATAACACTCTGGAAGTACTTCGTTCACAAAAAAAAAAAAATGAAGGAGGATTCCTAGCTGTTTCTCACCTACCCTGGTCTGATCAAACAGTATGACAGAGGCTGTGACATGCCATATCGCTCATAAGGATTAATACCTCGGCAAGTTGCAGGGACGCACACACAGTCAGGAAGATAAAGCATAGTGGAGGGATGGAGCCAAGATATATCTTTACAGTTCGAAGAGCTTTCAGAGCGATAAATTGCTAAAGCCCAGGCAAACTAAAAGTGCTCATTCTTTGATCTCTTTTACAAAGACCTGAGAAAAGTGACTAAAGCAATATTGATTTTAGCATTCGAGAGGACCTATAAATAATTCCCCATTGGTGCTTGGCATAGACAAAAAATGAATTTCACTTGAGTTTTCATCTATACACATTAAAAACTGCCAAGACATGAACCAATCCATAACCTTAACACTTAATTTAAGGGTGGTTCACACCAAGGCGTTTCATTTAGAACCTGGTGCGTTTGCCCCTTTTGCTTGGTTTGTTTGAGCATATGTGAAACCTGTAATCATGCTCTGATCCGAACCAAAACAATTGGTTTGATTAAATGAGGACGTCTTGGCTCAATTAAAACTCTTGAGTGGTTTGGTTGTAGAGAGAAAGCGATATGATCCAATGAACCAACCAACCAACCAGGGTATACCACTGTGATTTATGACAATGTAAAAGGCATATGTATGACTATAAGAAGAGAGAACGATGAGTAGAGATATCATTCGTATCGATAAGAGTGCATTTCCTGATGAATGCGAAAGTGAAAGCATGTAGTTTAACTAAACTATTAAATGTATTTAAATATATTTAGCCACATATGGCCACAGCCATATCACCCTGCAGCCATATCATCCAGGGCTGAGTCTGGTCAGTACCTGGATGGGAGACCACATGGGAAAACTAGGTTGCAGTTGGAAGTGGTGCCAGTGAGGCCAGCAGGGGGAGCTCAACCTGTGGACTGTGTGAGTCCTAATGCCCCAGTAAAGTAAAGGAGACACCATACTGTCAGTGGACGCTGTCTTTTAGATTGTCTTTTAGTTAAACTGAGGTCCTGACTCTATGTGGTGATTAAAAATACTATGGTACTTGTAAAGAGTAGGCGTATAACCCCAGTGTCCTGGCCAAATTCCCTCCATCAGCCACCCTTACTTATCATGGACTCCCAATCATCCCCATCCTCCGAATCGGCTCTTTCAACTTTCTTTATAGCTGGTACGTGGGGAGCATTCTGTGGCTGCCGTTGCATTACCTAAGTAAATGCTGCACACTGGTGGTGGTATGGAGACCCCCCCCCCCCCCTTCCCTCATGATTATGAAGTGCTTTTGGATGCATGGCCTTACATAATAAATGAGCTATATAAATACACATTACTTTTTTGGTTAACTCGACTTCCGATATAGAACCAATATATATTTATTACCCTTGACAGTTGAAATGAAGCTATGCATGAGACATTCTTACCTCTGATTTATATTTGGAGGTGATGATCTGTTTGCGGCTGTCACCATTTAAAATTAAAGCACACATTTTAGATTATATCTCATTTATCATCATAATAAATTTAAATAATGATGTATGGCGCCTGAGCAGAATCCTAAAAAATAAACTCTGACTAATGTGAGGAGAGTTTACTCGCACTTGACTTGTTTTAACTAGTTTGGTCTGATGAGAAACTTTGCGTTGTGAAAGCGAACCACACTAGTGATGGGTTGTTCATGAGCGATTTGTTCATTTTGAACAAATCTTCAATATGACTCGGGAACTACCAGTCCTCTCAGGGAGTGATTCGTTCTTCCATGCGTGCGCACATTTGTGCAGGTGGTATCGTTCATTTCAAGTTTTCATCACATTTCGAGTCGTTCATCGCGGAAAGGCAGAAGCCAATCACACGCGTTTAGAGCCGAAAAAAGAATTGAACCGTTCATCTCTCGAGTCCTCGGGTTTAAGTCATTCTATCACGTAAATAACGAACGACTCAAGCCTTGAAAGGTGAACTAATTATCATGGCTCCTATCGGCTCAGACTGTGTACATTGGTTAAGATTATATGTGACTGCCAGTGTAACGTGAACGAATCACTGACATTTGAAGACATGAAGAGGTGAGCTGAGCAAAGAGACAACAATACCTTTATAGACAAAAGAGCAGGTAAACATTGAAGTATTATTTTCTCCTCCTTATAGTATTCTATTTATGACTTATTTGTCGTACAATCAACCTTTTGGGCTAGTTGTAGCAGTGTTTGGAAGCAATTCGTAACATTTTATTAACCTTTTGGCAAATTGAACCAAATGAACGAAATGACTCGAAAAAAGATTTGTTCATCTTGATGAACGAGACTTAAAGATCCGAGTCAGTAAAATGATCCGAACTTCCCATCACTAAACCAGACTAAGAACAAAAATCAACATTGTTACAATTTTAATCCCTGCAAATTAAAACAATCAATCCCCAGATGTGAAAGCAACCTAAGATAACATCCGCCCTAGCAATTGGGACTGCATTCCAGATCTTACCTGCAAGAGTCCAGTCTCCGCTGGGAAGCGTGTGGCCGCTGTAGTATAAAATATAAGTGTCGTGCCTCGGGCCTTCAGCGGTGCAGAGCTCCAAAAAGGAGCGCAGCTTGACAAGCAGGGTCTCGAGGCTTAGACTGGTGGAATAGTCACACCCGAACGTCTGGATAAGGTGATGGGAGAAGAGTCGCTGCACTGCATTCAAAGTAGATGTGGAGTGCAATTCCTGAACTTGTCCTGGAGGCAACAGCACCGGTTGACCATCAGCACTGCATCCCATTTAAAAATGAAAAAAAGAGGAAAAAGTGATCGGTGAAATATGATAGAGAGCCTTGTGCTTTTGAATTTCTAACTGGGTCACCTTAACTTTGAGTGTACACAAAACATCCACAATGAAAAGCAAATTCAAAAAGGCTTTAAAAAAAAAAAAAGAAGCACAAACACAGAAAATAAATACAAAAGAAGAAGAAAGGCTGTAGCGAGTATGATGTTAATTCAAGAGCAAGCAATTCAGCAGCTCTTCTCAGGGTCAACCTAACCTGTTCTGCCTTTCGAAAAGAGCATGGCAAAGACTTTCTGCTGTAAACATCGCTATGAACTGAACTCGCTAATAACAAGTCGATAAAGAATAGAAAAGTCCGTTATGACCTTTCCATACTGTGTTCCCCAAAAATCATGATAATAAATTTAAGATTGAGTTTTTGATGGCAGGATTAAAAGACTGGTTCCCAAAGGTTGCCATGCTTGCCGAAGACTGAAATGTAAGGCATGGTGACCCGTAAAAACTATCTAGGCAGGTGCTGAGCTATTCAAGCAGAAATGACTGCCTTTCTGAGTTTGTCAGGACTCTATTCTCCTCCTCCTCCTCGCTCTCTCTTTCAATCGCTCTGCATTTTCTTCTCCATCCATCTGCTCAACCCATCCGGATACAATGCCTCCCTTTCATAAACGACAGCATTTTATGCACCAAAAATACCCTCATGACCCAAAGCCAACATTTCTGCTGAAACGACATTATCCTCAACTTTTAGCTTTTATAAGCTACATGGCATTTATGAGAGGATATAAACACAATTTTCATTAAGAGAACTAACAAATTGTGCACAGCTTTTATTAAGAACTACTCAAATGCTTTCTGGGTGAGCCATCTAAATTTCTGGAGGACGGCCAGAGCTTGTTCATTTATAAGTGCTAGAGGAACCGGTACAGTGGCATCTGTTAAGAATAAAAACAAGCTCTCGCTGGTAAAAGCAAACCTGTCGACCTGAGCATTTCATCCCTCCCTCCCCTCTCATCTTCCCAAGAGGCCCTTGTCATGGTATAAACATGATCTGTACCCATCAGATGGAAGATTACACCTTGATACATTCCTCTTCTGCGCTTGCTTTTCACCAAGAGTGCTGGAATACTGAGCGTGAAGAGGCTGTGGAGCTGCATCCTAATCCACATCATAATCAGCGACCTGACTGACGGCCTGCCCTGCACCCCATCCTCGCTCTCACTCAGTATGCATGGCACGAGCCTCTCCCAGCGGGACTGGCAATAGAGCAAGTTTATTAAAGCCTTTGAGTTTATTTAAAGTTTGCATGTGTTTATATAGATCCAATCAAGGGCGTTTGTTCCACTAGTCTTTTTTTCTGGAGATTTTTTGCAAAGGACTAATGAGCAAGAGAAGGGCAGCAGATCATTTACCTTTACGTTGTAATTATGTTCATTAATCATCTTACTAATTTAGGTGCACATCCGCTGTTTTTGAACTTCTTTTTAGCAATTCATAGTAGCATATATAATATCAAACTGGTTCATTTCATGAGCAACAACCAATAAAAATGCAAAGAATGGCTAGCCAAATTAAAAATGAGGCCATTTACATCACATCTAATGTACAAATCATAATAAAAAATACAAAAAAATAAGATATTCTTAATTTAAAACCTTTCAAACTGAACTAAAACTCTAAGGTTGTGGATTTGTCATTTACAACCAGTGGTGGAAAGATTACAGAACAATCATACTTGGGTAAAAGTACTATTACTTGCACAAATATGTAGTGCACTACACTAATTGAAGTAATAGTGGAGTAATAGTATTGTAAATATTACTCAAAGTATGACCTCAAAGTATAGACCTTTTAAAAGTACTCAAGAGTATTACACTGTAAAAAGCGGATGCATTTACATGTAATTAGTGAATGTGTGTAAACGTAACATTCTGTAGTAGTGCATCTGTAGTAGTAACATCAAAAGACGTTAATATTAGGTTAGATTTAGGTTGTGATGTCAGATGACCAAAATTCAATGCCAAGCCAGCGACTAAGCACAACATGACTTTGATGTCCAATAATGACGTTGATGTTCGGTTGATTTTAGGTTGTGTTAGAAAGTGACCAAAATCCAACGTTGAACTAACATCATACTGAAGTCAAATACTGACATTTAATTGTGAGGTATGGCAACCAGAATCCAACATTTGATAGACGTAATAGTGGTAATAGTGGATAGATGTTAATATTTGGTGGAATTTGGGTTGGATGTTGGGCGTTTGAGTTCTGACGTCAAACCAATTTTGCCTGTTGGGTGTTCAAGGCCATTTCGGTCATCATACAGTAAACATCCATCATCATGTCATCAGTGACCACGTTAACATGGACATCAGTAACCGAATTATTTGCTTTAATTTAATTAAGAGAATAATAAGACCAAGGTGTTTACATGAGTTGCTTGAGTGTTACTTTCATTATCCTGTTTTACATGTTATAGCACATAATTCGATTAACGTCATTGCTTCACCAGACTATCCGCATTTCCTCCGGAGTTTCATGCAATTTCGGGTGTTTAACTTTTAATTTGTTGACTTTAACTGCAGTTTGGCACTTTCACTTTCATTTACAAAAATTTCATGCACGCCCTCCGTGACTAACGGGATACTGGATGGAACTACGAACTGCTGGAAGTGTTGTTATAATGGAAATTCATACCGCATGCTGAATGGAACAAAAAAAAAACCCTTTGCATTTCATGATGCAGGTGTCTGGTCTGCACTGTTGGTGCAAAAAGTGTCAAACAGCCGTGTGTGTGTGTTTTTAGTGTGTGTGGACTATCCAGTCGCAAAACGCGGCGAAAAGTCCTACATGATGGTAATAGTTTGATTGAGGTGTTTACATGACTGCACTTCATTAATGCGACTAAAATCGGCATACTCCACACATCTTAATTTGATTTATTTTTAGTTCGATTATGACCTCAATCCGATAAAATTAATTAAAAAAAAATTGCTGTTTACATGGTAGACTTGCATTAAAATCGAATTATTGGTGTCCATGTAAACGTAGTCAGTGACATGCATCTAAACAATCTCTCTTACAGAACGTGCATTTGTTGAAATTTACCAAAATAAATCCAAGGAAAGTATTTAAATGAATAATGAAATGTAATTTTCAATGATTTGCAGTGTTTTTTTTTTTTCATTCAGAGTTTAATTTATTAGTATTAGTGTATTTTGTACATCCCAAAAGCATGTGTTAAAAAAAGAGTCACTACAGACTTTTCATTCTATTAACTTCATTCAAACGTATGCAAAACACCAGAAAGGGAAAACAAGCAAATGCATAGTTTTTCCCCCCATTTCATTGCATTTGGGTAAATCTAACCTGCAAACTGATATCACATGGTGTGTGTGTGGCGCAAAATTGAGATTTCAAGGGAATTGGCATTGCAGGGAAGTCCAATAAACTTACATTGTATTATTCTAGATTTCTTACTGTTTGCTTTGTGCTCTTAAATAGAAGCTGCAGAGCATCAACAACTTGCAATGGATAGTTTATATCAGCGCACATGTGACTGTAAACATGCAAGTCAGAAAATAACTTTGTACACAATATAACTGTTCAAAGAGTATACTATGTATATGTGCATTTACCTGCTGTAGCAAGTGGGAATTACCACCGCATATCCAACGCAGGTGCCTCCCAAACCGTTGCCCAGTTCATGGAAGAGCCCATGAGCCAGAGACTCCAGTGGCAGGACCACTAAAAACACACTCATGAAGAGTCCATTAGCGACCTGCAGAGAGGAACCCTCAGTGATCAACAACTCAGAAGTCAAATCGAAGGGAAAGATGTAGCACATCCCATCTATAAAGTCTGACTGCAAGGCTAAGTTTAAAATCATTCCCTTTAAAACACAGCTTCTGTTTCCAGACACGCTTGTTTAAGGTCTCCTATGCATTCTGACTCACAAGCAGCTGATAGAACAATATTTACAAGAAAAATTAAGCGCTGAATTCGCTTCACAAGTTGGATAATATTAGCACGCTTCTAATGACTAACTGCAGAACACATCTCACCATTAATCCTCAAGTGGATTACTATGAAGGTTATATTAGGCACTTGTGCCCAAAGCGCTTGGCTGGTTTATTGAGTTGTCCTCAATTAATGTTGAGGACTATTAGCGTACATAAGACATAATCTTGTGCAGTTTTTGGTTGTTAACTTACAGTTAACAGATGCAGATATTTCATTTCAAAGAATGCTATAACAGACCATTAAGCAAAAGTTTGATTGACAGGTGCCAATCAAACCAATCAGAATGCTGATATTGTGTTCCCTGTGGTTATCCAGAAATGTAGGTGATCAAGCCAGCATGTTCTTCAGCTCTAACAAGCTTATCATATTGACGGCTGCTTTAATTCTACATATTTTTTTAATCTATTAAGGCATATATGAAACCATCTGTTGTTTTCCTTGTTTTTTTATTATCTTTTCTCTAATCTACATTGTAAAAGCGCAATTAAAAAAAAAAAAAAAATAGATTTTGCTGAATTGATTTAGGTTAGTTTTATCAGTAACCAGAGGGCAGTAACTTATTTATTTATTTATTATAATTAATTAAATGTTTCTTAAAATAAATTATATTGACACTTTTCACATTTTCGGGTTTCTCAGTATCGGAAGTCGTCATAGCTGGGAAAACTTACAGCACAGTGAATGTGGGAGTATAACAAATAATTTTTTCTTAATCTTATTTGCTCAAATAATAATAGAAAAAGTCCACGATGATGGTATAAAGACTTTCAGAAAAAAGAAAGAAAAAAAGTGTGAGACCGATGATGGCAGACAGAGGAGAGAATAATATCAAATTTACTCTCAGCCCTATAGACGGTATATTAGAAACACCTTTCACAAGTGATGCGTCATAAAAGGCTTGTAAAAAAGGGTTCATTATTTTCAATGGGGAAAAAAAGTTGTTATTTTTCACCCAGGCATTTAAAAAGAACACATTTCAGTGCAGTAATCACAATGCTGAGATATTATCATACTGTCAGAATCTTATCAGGGTTTCCAAGGGTTTTTAAGACCATCAAAGGGTTTTTAAGACCATCAAAAATCTAATTTCAGACTTAAATAGGGCTTAAATAATATAAATAGGGCTTAAAAAAAAAAAAAAACTTACTTAAATCATTTTTGGTCCAGCAGAAAATTATTTTTACTTTTCTTATTAAAAAACTAACTCTTATTAATTATTTCTTCACATATTTTAAATAATGTCAAAACCAGCAGAGCTCTACACATACCATTTTTTCTTACTTTTTTTTCATACTTAATTTTTAAAAACGTAATAAACTAAATGTATGCACAACAGACTGTTATAATCTTAGTAATAAACAGATTTGCTGAATGTTTTGTATTATCGGTGACTGGCTATCCTTTGTTACGATCCAGTATTTATTTATTATTATTAATATCATTATTATTATTGTTGTCATTTGGGAGTGTTGTTTCTTGATTATTAATTGGTATTTCTTTTTCTTTGAGGGTAACTTCGCCTTGCACCTACGGCTAATTCCTTTATAAGCGGAAGCTGAATGTGCGTCTGGATGGCACTTTGTTTTTACTCTGAGGCGAGCATGACCCGTACATGCTAAGAATCTCTATGTATCTTGCTGTCGTGAAAGGCTTGAGAATTCTGGGTGCATCTTATGCAGCCGCTGCTGAGGAGCCATGCTGGTGTTGTTACCGTTCATTTCATTCTATGTTGATCTACGTTTTATGATTGTTTGTTTGGTTAATTATTTATTTTGATTGATTTAATATTGCTAAATTAAATAAATATATATTTTTTGAAAAGGACACTCATGTTTGTCTCTAAATAAATAGAGAATTGTACTTCCTTGCGTGTCCTTTTTATGTTGCTGACATAAACTACGAAAAAGTAAGACCTGCTAAAAATGATTTAAGACAAAGAAGACAATATTTCAATGACTATAAGACTTTTTTGAGCCTAAAATTTTGTTTTTCAAAATTTTACCGGCCCATGTCTAACTGTTTTTAGTCAAGACGTTTTTTTTAATGTGAACATAAAATGTTTTACCTGCCACGAAACAGCCCCAAGGATGATGGTGGACATCAGGCAGAAGAGCACGAGCCGCTCAGAGATGAGGCAGAAGTGCCGCATGCCCCTGGAGGCCATGATCCTGTCCAAATTGAGCGTTTGTAAGCGTTGCGCTGCCCACATTTTCTGACACTCGCTTAGCTTGGTGTGGAAGCACCACAGTGTGACGAGGAAAACCATGTGGCAGAGGATCCACAAGAGGCCAAAGATGCAGAAGCCAGGTATGACCAGATACCAGTCTTTCAGGTTACCCAATTTAAAGGCACAGACCACAAAAAACAACAGCTCAACGAGTGCCAGCGGAAATAGAGAAAACCTCCTCCACAGGCGGCCGGCGGAGAGAAACTGCTTCCAGCGCTCTGTTGCAGTCAAGCTGCTGAAGTAAACGTCCAAAAGGGGCTCGCAGATAAGCCGTCCCAGGTAGCAGCTGAGCGCGAAGGGGTTTGTTTGGATTTTTAAGGACTGGAAAAAAGTAACGGCGGCGATCACGGAAAAGCAGGCTAGATTAGGTAGAGCCAAGGGTGACTTCATGCGGAGGTCTATAATGAGGGCGGTTAATGCAAACGTTAAAGCAATCATGGCTAGAGATTTATCAAAAACCAAGCTGATGCTGGCAACCCCAAATCCCAGAAGCTCTAGAAGCTCGGACGAAGTGATCACAACTGGTTTGTATTTAGGATTAGCACACAGGCGTTCTGTTAACGCCCAGAGCGTCCGGATTGAAACACTAGAAAGCAACAGGTAGTTTGTGACCTGCTCTTTTATTTCATCCTCTAGAGACGGGCTGTTCAGGAAGCACAGGAGACCCTGGAGGAAGCCGAACCACAGGTGGAAGAGACTTAAACTGGCAGACTCCATTGAGAAGTAGTAGTAGAGGATGCAGGCGATGGCCGAAACGAACAAACCCAAGATGAAGAGGACCAGAATCATGGGCTCCGAGGTCTGCTCCCATCGTACGTACATTCCCAGGCACACGGCTACCAGTAAGTTGAAGCTGGAGAGATATCCCAGACAGCGGAGGAAGGACCACATGTCCACACTCTTGTCTGATTTCTCCTGGCCTGACATTTTTGAGTATTACTGAAGATGATTAATACTTCACTCCGCAAAGACTACAATACTACAGAAAATTATGAGGCATTCCACTGAAATGAATGGAGGAGATAGAAAAAAAAGAGAGTTAGAACCAACAATAAACAACTACCACTACTACATAAATGCTTGCTTATGATCCTGAAAAGGCATACTGATAAAACAAATCTCACTTTGAATAACCAATCAGACAATATGTCATGTAATGTAATCAATGGCATGGTATAGCTTACAAAACGTATTTTGGAAGTGATTAGATTATTTTAAGGGATACAGCTCCAGCTTTCACTTAGTTAAACCTCCAGGTTTGGAGTCTAAAGTCCAGTTACACAATTGTGTGTTGTATCTTAGAGTCGGAATTAAATGATTTTACTCTAAACAGCTTTTGTGAAAATCTAATGTTAAAATACATGTGAAATTATGTTCCAACATCAGACAAACATATTTTTTATATATATTTTATATATATATATATATATATATATTTATATATTAAATATATTTATATATAAAATATATATATATATTTTTTTTTATACATTATATATTAAGATAAAGTTGGTTTTATATTTGCACATTTTTGAACAAACACAACTTGTGACACTGTCCTATATTATTTACCACACTACTTTGAATATTGGGTCTGAAATTGCATGCAAGTATGCCTTCAAAACAACATTAGCACTATTTAATTGACAGTGAACAATGGTGTACGTATAGTCACTAGCTGCTAATGGGATTTTCCTATTAAGAATTTGCAAACAATATTTTCTGAAATGATATTTTTAACGAGAAACTCTGAATGTGCGAAAAAAAAAACCAACTACACCTCAGTACACACATTTATTATACATAAAATGCAGTACACATATAATTATACGTATAATTATGAAAATGTATACTAAATACAGCTACTTATATATATATATATATATATATATATATATATATATATATATATATATATATAAATATATAATGCAAAACTTATGACTGGTAACTTTTGACTGTTATATATTTTTCTGGCTTCTGCATTTTCATTCACAGAATTTTCACAAAGTATGTCAACTCACAAAACTCATGTCTTTTTTTTGTCACGTCCGTAACGTATTCATTTTGCCGTCATTTTAAATATAAAACACCTGCATAGACTGATATTTTTTGATGCTTGAACTCCATCGTTAAGGGGTAAGAAAAATATAAACATATATTTCAATATACTGTTAACATATACCTTCTCTAAGAATATACGTTTCATTTTTTACTGCAAATGTCACGTCCATAACGCTGGAATCAGCCATATATATATATATATATATATATATATATATATATATATATATATATATATATATATATATATATATATAAAGAGACATATATGATATGTTTGAAGATATTATGGCCATACGAATGTCTGACAACGACATCTGCACATAATAGATAGCGTATATCTCTAACAGATTCCGTTTAATGTATATTTACCTCTGCGTTTGTTCAGTATTAAATGTCAGACCAGAAACTGCCACATACTCAGTCTTGACTCTCAACTTTAACACTGTAAACACTCTGTAAGGATTTAAATACCGCACTAACGAATCAAAACATGAGTACTGACTACTGGCTCTCCGACAATCAGATCATATTTCTGTAAATATTGAAGATAAAAGCAATAGTATTCTTACATTTGTTTATGGCACAGAGTTTTTGGCTTCCCGATAGCCATGATGCTTCCGGACTCTAAACTACGGCGGCACATGAGGGTCAAAGGCAAAATGCAAAATTAGCGTAGTCATACTTCACTTTCTTTATACACACAAAAATCAGGGTTTGAGTCCAAACCAGTGCTTCAAATAACGCTTATACACTCAATAAAAAAACAATGTTTGCTGTTTGTTCAAACGACTTATTTAAAACGAGTTTAAACAACACAATTTGTGACGTTTTGGGAGGGACAACTTAATTGTTTTATGCTCAATCCACTTAAAATTGTAAAAACCAAGTAATTGAATTCCTTCATGTTATCCACAAATCGATTGTGTGGAACCAGCCTTTTTTACTGTGCTGAAGAAGACTGTGTTTATTGCTTTTTTAAAACCATTCACATATTTTTTATTATTATTATTATTCATCAGGTAAGATTTTTATACTTTTAGCTAGAAAAAATGGCAGGATAAACTTGCTTACAATGAAAGAACTGAAATGAAACTCGCCATTTGATCTGCTATTCTTCTCCATAATTTTAAAGTGAAGCACACTTCCTGCAGTGAGGCTGTTTATCATCATCAGTGGCGCCTTTAGTTTTTCAACATGCTTAAGAATAATCTGTATTACTGCGTTTATTTAGGACGTTTATTTTATTTTTCACCATGCTTAAGAATGATCTGTATTACTGCGTTTATTCAGGACGTTTATTTTATTTTTCCCCATGCTTAAGAAAAATCTGTATTACTGCGTTTATTCAGGACGTTTATTTTATTTTTCACCATGCTTAAGAATGATCTGTATTACTGCGTTTATTCAGGACGTTTATTTTATTTTTCCCCATGCTTAAGAAAAATCTGTATTACTGCGTTTATTCAGGACGTTTATTTTATTTTTCACCATGCTTAAGAATGATCTGTATTACTGCGTTTATTCAGGACGTTTATTTTATTTTTCCCCATGCTTAAGAATGATCTGTATTACTGCGTTTATTTAGGACGTCATGTTTTATGCTCAATTCACTTAAAATTATAAAAAATAAATAAAATAAAAAGTCAACTTTATTCCCAATCGATTGTGTGTGATTATTTTGCAGTGTAGGCTAAAAAATGTCTAGCCCAAAATAAAGCTAGTCTACATGTGTATTATATACACTACCAGACAAACTTATTGTCGCCTATCCAAGTTTTAGGAACAACAAATAATAACTTGACTTCTAGTTGATCAATTCACATCAGAAGTGGCTTATATGAAAGGCAAAGGTCTCTAAATAAGTGTCTTATTTTACCAAAATAATACATGATCGTACCTTGATTTTGAATTATTTAATTAGGACAGTAAGGTCTGACTTTGCTTAGACAAAAATCTTGTCACTTACCAGAAATAATGTCCAGTATAGAATATAAAGTCATGATGCAGTGTTAAAAGATTTAATATCACCTATGACTCCCATGATTTTGGAGGACTGCATCCATAAATCTCTGCAATGACTCAAATAACTGATTAAGAAAGTCATCTGAAATGGCAAAGAAAGCGTTCGCGCAGGACTCCCAGAGTTCATCAAGATTCTTTGGATTCATCTTCAATGTCTCCTCCAGCTTACCCCAGACATGCTCAATAATGTTCATGTCTGGTGACTGGGCTGGCCAATCCCGGAGCACCTTGACCTTCTTTGCTTTCATTAACTGATGTGGAGGCTGAAGTATGAGAAGGAGCGCTATCCTGCTGGAGAATTTTCCCTTCACCTGTGGTTTGTAATGTAACGGGCAGCACAAAAGTCTTGATGCCTCTGGTTGTTGATGTTGCCATTCCCTCAGAAGATCTCTCGCACGCCCCTATACTCAATGTAACTCCAAAACGTGATTGTTCCTTCACCAAACTTGATTTCTGTGACAATCTTGGGTTTCAACAGGTCTTCTGCAGTATTTGTGATGATTGAGATGCAGTTCAACACACGATTCATCAGAGAAATCTATCCTCTGCCACTTTTCCAAATGATCAACTTGAGGTCAAGTTAATTTTTTTTGTTCTCTTACAACTGGGATTGACAAAAAGAGTTGTCAGGTAGTGTAATATTTTAGAAATGCAAAAAGAAAAGTGTTGACCCACATATAAATTAACAGCCAATGTGTGTTTGTGTGTGTTATTGTTTTGTATATATTATTAATCAAGCATTTGTGAGTAGACGGAGAAGAAAATAAAGTCATTGAGTTTTTATAAAGCACTTAATTGATTTGTTTATTTGTACATGACATTAAAAATAGCCTTATAACTCTCATTTTCTCAGAATGGCCATCTGCATGTTGTTCCAGTGAAAAACAAGCTGCAATTCTCGCCCTTACGGCTGAAAATAAAACACTTAAACCAAACATTATATCAGAAAGCATGAATCTCTCCGTGTGCTATACGAACAGTAATCAGTGAATGCTTGCTCTCCTTTTATGATCAACCCTGAAAATGGAGCCTTAGAGAAGAAGTGTGGCATTTTCTCCTGCGTAGGTAGAAGCTCCCTGACTGGGTAAATACAAGGCAGGCTGCCTCCCACACAAACTTCAGCAAGCATGAGACCAAAAAAGAGGAACAGAGAGAAGTCATGAGCTCCCACAGCTGTCTACTACCTACATCAAGCAGGCTTGTAATACCTGGAGAAAGCTTCTCCCATTTACCTCAGTGGTAGGTGTTTGGTGCATGCATGGCAAATGGTTTTTGTTAATGGATCACGGTTCTTTAGGAGAATGATCAAATGAATACAAAAAATAAATAAATAAATAAATAAATAATATTCAAAGTCATCAAATAAATAAACAAACACTATTTTAAACCACATCGCAAGTATAATATTCAATGTCTAAACAAATCCCATATACAAACTCTGAAGCAGATTCATATACTTGCAGAACTGGCAATATTTGATCAGTCATGTTTTTGAGTTACTTGACCTTATTGTAAGAAATTAATCAGGTTTCAACTTTATTTTTGAAGTTATTCAACTTTTACCTCAATAAATAAATAAGTATTATTTAAAAAAATATGTATATTTCTATACCAAGCATATAAATAATAAAGCATAATATATATCCAAGATCAAATTCATTTACTTATGAAGCACATTTAAAAACTGCCACAAGACTGACCAAAGTGCTGTAGAAGAGACAGAGTAAGGTATAGAGACACTTACAAAAACATACACTCTCAGAAATAAAAGTAGTGAGCTGTCAGTGGGGTGGTACCTTTTCAAAAGGTACACATTTGTACTTAAAGGGTCGATATTGGTACCTTAAAAGTATATATTAGTACCTAAAAACATTTAGAGGAACACGTTTGTACTTTTAAGGTACTAATATGTACCCTTGAGGTATTTATATGGACCTTTTAGGTACATATTTGTACCTTTTGAAAAGGTGCCACCCCAGTGACAGCTCCCGTACCTTTATTTCAGAGAGAGTACCATGAGAAAAACAAAATAAATGTAAAAATAAAGCAATCGACAAAACTATTATTAATTCATTCATTCATTTTCTTTTCGGCTTAGTCCCTTAATTAATCAGGGGTTGCCACAGCAGAATGAACTTATCCAGTATATGTTTGACGCAGTGGATGCCCTTCCAGCTGCAACCCAGTACCCATACACTCCTGCATTCACACTCATACACTACGACCAATTTAGCTTATTCAATTCACTTTTAGCGCATGTCTTTGGACTGTGGGGGAGCACCCAGAGAAAACTAATCTGAATACGGGGAAAACATTCAAACTCCACACAGAAATGCCAAGTGACCCAGCCAGGGCTTGAACCAGCAACCGTCTTGCTGTGAGGCCACCGTGACTCCCTCAAAACTATTATAATATTAATATTAAAAAGCCAAACTGAACAGCTGAGTTTAAAAAAGCAATTTAAAAATAAATAGTGATGGTGCCAATACATATTATATATTAACAATATATAGTAGTGATGGTATAGTATATATTATTATTTATTAATTATTTTTAAGTATTTATTTGATGCAAGTTGAAATTAGTTTTAAAGTTAATCTGGCTTATTGTGCTTTTTTTGTAATCAGAATCAACTGGTTCCTATTTGAAATACATGATTTGAGATGTTTTAAATAGTATTAATATTCATTCATTTATTCATTTTCCTTCAGCTTAGCCTCTTTGTTTATCAGGGATCGCCGCAGCGGAATGAACTGGCAACTTATCCAGCATTTGTTTTACACAGCGGATGCCCTTTCAGCTGCAACCCATCACTGGGAAAATAATTAATATTGTACATTAACAATAATAGCTATTGTTTTTATATTATGCACAATATATCATTTTAAGTAAACACAAAAAGTGTAAAACTTTTGTAATATTATAATAAAAGAGTAATATTTTATAAACTAATACTTATTTAAATATTAAGTAAAAATTTGGTACGAGCCTTGGCTGGGCAAGTTGGCATTTTTGTGTAAAGTTTGCATGTTTTCCCCGTGTTGGCGTGCGTTTCCTCTGGGTGCTCCGGTTTCTCCCACAGTCCAAAGACATGTGTTTTAGGTGAACTCTGTAAGCTAAATTGCCTGTAGTGTGTATGAGTGTGAATGCAAGAGAGTGAGAGTGTTTCCCAGAGATGGGTTGCTGCTGGAAGGGCATCAGCTACTTAAAACATATGCTGGATAAGTTGGCAGTTCATTCCGCTGTGGCGATCCCTGATTAATAAAGCTGAAAAGAAAATGAATAAATGAACGTACAGATTCAATAATATCTGGATGCAGCCTTGATGATGCAGGCTGAGACTGCATATCTCAGTGATGCAATGCCAGACACAATGCACTCAGTGACGTCATTGTGAGGGATGGGGTTAGGTGAGCGCATTAAAAAGCATTAGATGCAGCTCAGATTGCACTGCACCAGATTAGGAGGTTTAGAGTAGGAAAACAAAACTAATTTTCAATTTTTCACTTCATATTTTGACAAATTGCATCAACAAGATTTCACCAAACAGTTGAACAGTTTTGTAATTTTATTTTAAAACACTTATGATTCTCAATCAAATACTCAGTGCACACATCTGCATTTAATGCTCATTAAAAAATATGCAATAGCAGGGATGTTGATGAACAGGTTTGCATGTGTGGGATTGCAGTTTGTGTGTGTGCAAACATGATAATAGAC